CACTCATCACTCATATTGCACTTGCTGTTCACCAGGACCCCCTGGTCCCTTTCCACAGAGCTGCTCCCCAGCCGGATAGATCCCTGACAGTGCTGCACTCTTGGGTTGTGTTTCTCCTTTCTCACACACAGAAGTGCACCTAAAGTTCTCACTTTTGACCCATACTGCAGTGAGTGAAAGGAAAATTGTTTTTTTTGATTGTGAGAAAGTATATGGAGATCATGGGCCCAAAATGGTCCTCTCTACCTGGAGCACAGATGGTATGAATAGCCTGTCTGCTCTGAAACAAGACAGTCATTCTTGTGCTAACAGATTATTTAGATATTAAACTGGAACAGATCAGAAACTAACTGTAATATGTTGGTGTTCATACAGGGGACTGAGTCTCAGGCAGACCTATACCAAGAAATACTGACAGGTATTATTAAACGATATTAAAAATATCTTGGTGTTAAAAATATCTTGAATTTGCCTCTTTCTTTCAGTTTCTCCAGTTCTTCCCCTCTGCCTTTGCTCACATCCCTTGCTTCTTGTTCTCTCTTCCCAAGACAATAAAGTTTCTTTCCAAGATGCTCAGTGAATTCATCCCAAGGCATTAGAGTTCCACCAACTTTTAACTAGGCCTCTGTGTTCAGCCGAGTCCCTCCCAGGGGTGGCAACTGGAGACAACTGGGGAGAGCAATCACTAACTAGGAAAGTTTTTAGTCTCCGGAGTGAGTCTAATCCCAGAAGTCCTTGTTAGATCCAGTCAATTGTTCTTAAGTTTTTACTGAAGGCAAATATTCCATTGTCTGAAGGCAGGATCCTATCAATACAAATGTGGATAAGAATGGGAATGCAGGTCTGCCTGATGTGACACCCTTGCAAAATCAGAGTGGGAGATAGTTCGGGTGTTCCAGAACTGTCTGAACCTCTTCCTGGGGCTGTCAGGACATTGCATTGGGTTCACTGGGCCAACGTGCACTTGCAAAGAGCAGGTTCACTTTCTTAACCCTGACCAGGAAAAGCATGACATTATCTAATATCTCCCAGGAGCAAGGACCAAAAGCAGCACAGATTGCTTCTCTGCTAGAGACAGAGATCACAGGTAGTATTCCTGGATCATGTACGTTATGCACTCCCACTGAACGAGGCTCAATGGTTCAAAATCACATGCTCCAGTGTCAACCAAACAACATCCCCACCAGCATGACCTGGGCAGGATGTCCTCCTGTATCTCGTAGTGTAAAAGAGCAAGTGCCCTGGAAACCCTCAGACTAAACCTCCTCTTCTCCACCATTACTAGTACATAACGAGGTATATTAAAAATTACTCCTTTTCTGTCACTGTGTTGATTCCCTTTTTGACACCAGAATCTACAAGTAAATGTTAGGTGCCTCAGAGTGAGAGGGGAATGGTGCCATGCCATTCTGAGCTACAGACTCCATCCCAAAGCACTGCACTGCCAAACTGTACCCACCACATGGCATCACAGAACCCGGCCTTTTTTCAGTCTAGGCTCCATTAAATACGCCAAAAGAGAAAGCAATTAGTGGCCTTACATGACATTTACTGGTAAACCCTGTGTTCCAAGTAAAGAAGAGCTCAGAGTCTTGGACTTAGTCATGCTGGTCTGACTCACACCTCTATCCCCAGTAACTCAGCTCATTATTCAAGCCCTAAAACTTTTTCTCAAGTGTCCTATTCATTGCACTGTTTGTCACAGCACATTTTGTACATATTATTGTTATGTCCTGGATTATCCGTTCTATCCTTTATCAATGCTATCCATTGTCTTAGGCGTGTTATCCACCCTCCTGTCTGATGTTATCTCACTGCTGTCTCCATCTCCTTGTGACAACACACTCCCTCAGTCAGTCTGTTACATGAAATACAGTTCTGAGCTTTCTGACATGTGTTACCCAGCTTTGGTGTCCCTTGCTCCAGCTGTTGTCTGAATTAATGTAGGAAATCACAGCCTTTCCTTAGCTTGCTCCAAAACAGTTTCAGCCTGCACATTCCACATTACAACACTCTATAAAACATCTAAAACATCAGTATCTAACCCATTGCCCAATCAAGCACTTTTGTGCCACCCACTACTCTGGTATGGTCATTACTTGCTAAGATACTATTGGTCCTGATCATGAAGTACGAACTATGATCGTGAACTATGTGACCAGGTAGCCAGCTGTCTGAACTGGTCTTTCCCTCTTCACCAGACCCCTGGTAAGCTACATTCATGCCAAGCCTGTCCCTCAGTGACATTCTGTCACCAGTAGTTTGCAGATGCCCAACAGCAGTGCAGCATCTTCTTTGCTCGACTACATCCACAGTGACTCTTAGCTGCTTAAGTTCTCTTTGCTGGGTATCTAGTGAGGCAGGGCTGGGGGAAGATGACTTCAGGCTGCTGCTCTCTGATGTTCCTGCTGGTTCACAGGCAAGAAGCAGCTTGCAGTGAATGGTGTTGGGCAGTAGATGGAAGCAGTAGCCTGAATATGTGCTGCAGGCACCATCTCCAGAGACAAAAGCCCCAAATGCTAAAGATGCTACTGCAGAAGGCAGAGCTGGGGAAGGGGGACTGGGGGCGACAGGGGCAGTTCATCAGGCTTGAATTACTGAGCCACAAGCACTGCTGGAGTTATTTCTGAAGGTGGCTTGGCGGATGTCTGGCAAATTCACTGGCAGTGGAGAATAGCGTGGCTACAACATTGACTTGACTCCTTCCTTAGCTTTAATTCAGCTTTGCATCACAGCTAACCTGGTCCAGCCTCATATTTTACCTACTACCCCAATCTTTGTGGGTACCTGCCTATTCTGGTACATTCATTTTGGCTTTGACTCATTGGCTAGCCTGATCTGTATATATTTTCTCAGAAGCCTGAATATCCCATACCTTGGTCACATCAAACTTGACCCACAACCTAGTATCTCTATTTAGAATCCATACCTTCCACCTTAAGCTACTGCTATAAACTAGTCTTGAGGTCATAACACACTGCTCCCTTCTGATTCTTGTCACTGACTTCCTTGTCTGCTCCACCTCATCAGCCTAACGCTTAACCTGTGTGGTGCCCACGTGAAATAACAGCAGCAGGTAATAAATAGTCAGTGGGCCGCACTGGGCTTGGTAGTCTCCCTGTGACATCCGTGATGTGAGCCCCTGGTAGGCAGCACACCTCTCAAGGGGGCACATCAAGCTGGCAAATGGGGGCCTCTGTACGGCTCAGAAGAGCGTTTCCATGAATGGAACCACAGGCACTGCTGAAGTGATGGGAAGGTAAGGGGAGGAGTTTTTGATGGGCAGTCACCTTCTTCCAAGGAGGAGTGAATCCACCGGCATTTCAGCATCTACAGCAGGCACATGAACTACACTGAGCAACACATCCAGGCTTCGGAGCTGCTTGTTGACATGCACTTACAGAAGGAAGAGAGAAACAGACGTGGCTATGGAATAATCCATCTGACCTATTTTAGCCCTTTTTCTCTCAATGAAAACAGTAATACCTGGAGATGCCTGTATATTTATATTCCCAAGAAAGGAGACAAGCTGAGTATATTTTATATTAGACTAAACTGACGGCTATCAAAACTTCAGCAGATGAATTCCAGCTTCCCAGAATAGTCCTCTGATGGTAAGACAGCTCAGGTATTTACTCGAGCTCAAGTCACAGGAAAACATAAGCATTTGTTTGACTTACGAGAATCACTGTCACTTGCTTTGGTTGCTTCTTTAGAGATTGGTCAGATGTGTAAGATGAACTATTTGAAACGCCCAGATCTCGCTGGGTTTATAGGTAGAACTAATGCTGGCCAGGACAGGAAGCACTGAATACATGTACTAAAGAGACACAATGGTTAACACTGTATTTTGCACTAAGAAAAAATGGCAGAATATTGCTCTGATTTGACCTGTGTAATTTATTACAGTTAAAGTTAACAGTAATATGGTTACAGAGTTATATGTGTTTGCACATTATAAATCTTCAGTCATGGTTTATATTACTGCTTCTGGAGCCATAAAAGGCTTTAAACGAACAATATCTGGACAGATTTTTCAATGTCAATGAATTGCTTTAGGAAGATGATGTCCTTCCACCACTGAAAACCCAGTTTATAGTACGCTTTCCTCAGCTAATCCTGGGAAGGGAGGAAGAGGTGGTTTGTTTCTTGCCTTTTAACATGGAATTAAATATTGCACTAGAGGAACTTCAACACAAGATGAAAAAGCATTTCTCAGGTTAGATTAGATTGGATGGGAAGCGTTAAAGGGGAGAAACGTGCATTCTCCGGTTCGAGAGGGGTTTTTTTCTTTTCACTTTTGACCTGTAGAAGTTGAGAATTATCTGTGAAAATCAGCTCATCCAATTGTTTAAAAAGGTGAATAGATGGAGAAATGGAAATACAGGGAAGAGGAGGGGAAGAAACGGAGAGAAATACATCCCTCCAAAAATGTAATTCACCTCTCCTGAGAGCTTAATTGAGGGTAACATCGATTGCTCTCTGGAAACCCTTGTTTCATTCAGTGAACGTCTTGAGACTTTCTATGCCAGGAAAACGTAATGGGGACAAAGCTGTACTCCACAGGCAGCACAGGAATGACTTGGTTGTGCAGAACTAAGCCGAATTGACTAAGTCATGCAGACACATCCTGGATATTCAGGATCCCCTGCAAGTTAAATAGAACTGGGAAACCTGCTCTTACATGGCCATCCAGTACCCATAGGTTTCAGTTATAGTCCAGGCTACTAATTATGAATCAGATATCAAAATATGATATTGAAGTTGTTCCTGTATCTTCCATACGGTATATGATGTGAATGGAATAACGTTCTTCCTTTTATCCCTCTCATGTTTTTCCTTTATTATCATCATTCTTCCTTCCTTCTTTTCCACTTGCCATTATTCCCTTTGTTCACTGCAGCTCTTCTCATTATTTCTTTCATTTAAAAAATATTCCATATATTTTCTCTTTTATTTTCTTTACTTTTTCTCTGAAGCTTGAGGCTGTGCCCTTTGCCATGAAGCAGAAAAACAGCACAGAATTCCAGGAATTCATCCTCCTGGGATTTCCAGCTATGATGGAACTTCAGATGTTGCTCTTTGTGGTATTCCTGGTGGCCTACATGCTGACCATCTTGGAAAATTTACTCATCATTATCTTGATAAAGATAAACCACCAGCTTCACAAGCCCATGTATTTCTTTCTCTGCAACCTCTCCTTCCTGGAGGTTTGGTTCACCTCAGTCACTGTCCCCAAACTGCTAGCCAATTTCCTTGTTGAAAGCAAGAATATATCTTTTGGAGGCTGCATGACCCAGCTTTACTTCTTCAGCTCCTTTATTTGCACCGAGTGTGTCCTCCTTGCTGTCATGGCTTATGATCGTTATGTGGCCATCTGTAATCCTCTGATGTATCCAGTCATCATGAACCACCGGCTCTGCATCCAGCTAGCCGCATGCTCCTGGCTCATTGGTTTCTCGGCCTCCATGCTGAAAGTTGTTTTCATCTCTCAGCTGTCTTTCTGTGGCTCCAATGTCATCAACCATTTCTTCTGTGACATCAGCCCCTTGCTGAACATGTCGTGTGCTGACATGACAACAGCTGAAATAGTAGATTTCATCCTGGCCTTGCTTATCTTGCTGATTCCCCTCTCCATCATGATTATCTCCTATGTATGCATCATCAGCACCATCCTGAATATCCCCACTACCCAGGGCAGGGAGAAAGCCTTCTCCACCTGTGTTTCTCACCTCACTGTAGTCATTATCTTCTTTTCAGCCACTCTGTTCATGTATGCCCGGCCCAAGAGAATCCACCCTTTTGACTTAAACAAGCTGGTGTCAGTTGCATACACTATTGTGACTCCCATGCTCAATCCCTTCATTTACTGTCTAAGGAACCAGGAGGTTAAGGAGGCTTTGAAGAAGATCTTCAGACTGTCCTCCAGTAAGATAGTTCCTTAGAGACAGAGTGTAAGCGTGTTAGAAGGAAAGGTTTTCAGATTTAGGTTGCATTCAGAACTCTATTATGCTGTGTGCGATAGCTGACAGCTAAGGTGAGATGCATGTGCCTAACATGCCTCATGTTTTAAGAGCCTTGGCTATTCTGCTCCATTTATGAATGTGATGCTAAAAGGAAGATTCTCTTCTGCAGTTCCTCTATCGTATCTGCCTATTCAAAAGGAGAGGTCTCAGGCACTCCACAGGATTTCGTGTTCTGCAGGAAGCCTCTACTTAGGACTGAATCAATCCTCATGGAAGAGAGCAGAAGAAAGTGTTCACAGTGGGACGAGAGAAGCCCAGCTTTTCAAGGAAGGTTGAAAGAAACACTAAATAAATTGATGACTTCATATACTGGGCACTGTAAATGTAATAACTTTTTTCTCCCCATTTTTAGCATATATTCCTTAAATTCTGTTCTGATAAATTCTGCTGCAGTCACTGTGTATTAGCTGGAATATGAATGAACAACCAACCTCTACTATGTATATGTACCGTACTGTGTATATGTACTTTAAATTATATATGAATTGACATTTATTTTCAATAAATAATAATGTAGTCAAATATTAACGATGTAGATTCTTTCTCAGTTTCAAATATTATACAATATATTGAATATATGTATACAGAAAGCATTAAACCCCTAATATTCTGATCACATCTGCTGAGATAAGATAAAAAATCCCCAACAGCAATAACAACAAATGATGTGAGACATCAGAATATCCTTAGATGGAGGAAAAGCTCCTCACAGAGTTGTCAAGTCATTCATCTGGGCTGTCTCTGGAGTGCTTGTGTGAAAAAAACCACTCGCTTCTGAACTGATACAGGAGTATTTAAGGATGCCTCTACATTATTAATAACTTTACCACCACTTCATTCCAGAGTGGTGATTCCCAGTTGTGATCCCAAGTCATTGCACGCATGTTCATTCAGGGTTGAGTTGTTTGGGGTTTTTTAAGCTAAATGACATATACTATTGCCAGGCAAGGGAGAGAAGAAATAATTTGTTTCTTTGATTGGTCCCATTGGAAGAATAAACCAAATGCCCAGGTGAAGTCTTCAGGAAAATGAAGGAATAATAAACAGATGTCCCGGCACTCTGAACTTCAAGCGATCCGTTCAGCATCGGTGCAAGGACTCAGGCTGTAAGTGAGATTGAAGTATTTGTTAACGTAGTATTTCTTATGATAAGTATTAATAACTCTTTCTTTAAGTCTGCTGAGTAGTATATCGGCTAACGAAGCTGGTGAGAAGGAACTATGGCAGGAGAGGACACTTCCCTGTCAGCGTGTTTCAATGAAATCTTTTCATTGAGAAGCCACACAGCAAATCTCATTTCTCATAGAATATCTATGAATTTTAATGTTAAGAAAGTGAAGCAGTGTCTTTCAACTGAAGATACTTTGAATCAGTCTTCCCTTCCCTTTCTCTTCCCTTCCTCTTCCCTTCCCATTCTATTCCCTTTCTGTGTCCTTCCCCTTCTACTCTTACCCTAATTCTTCCCTTCCCTACCTCTAACCCTTCTCTTCCCTTTATCTTCCCTTCCCTTTCTCTTCCCTTCCCTTTCTACTCTTACCCTAATTCTTCCCTTCTCTGCCTCTAACCTTTCTCTTCCCTTTCAAACTCTTCGGCAATATGAGACAATGTGGGGAGTTTTCAAATGGGATTTTGGATGAAGTCTGCAATTTCTGGACACGTGGTCTATGGAACAGAAAAGCTCTATCTAAGTTCATTGTTTTAATGATGTTAAAGTTACAGCTTGAATTCTGATCTTTAATAAAGTTTTAACTTTACAAAAGAAAAAGCCATTGATGGGGATTATGTAAATACTGCTGCTGGTATTGAGACTATTTTATTACTTTAAGAAGGATCTTTGGTGACTGGTGTTCACAAATGCAGAAATCATTGTACAAGCTAAAAATCACTATCTAGAACAGATATTGCCCTCGTGAAGATCAAGGAGAAGTTGGGCATTACGTCACTGAGGGAATCCAGCCTTGCTGTTATTTTGTTCTAAATACCTTTGCCTTGGAACACTTTAATGATTATTCAACGAGTATTTACAGCACTAGAAATACTAATATTAATTTGACTGCAGTGTGAAAGTAATGTAAAACAGCTGGGGAGGGGAGAGAAAGAGGGAGGTGTTTAATGTATTATAATCACAAATAGTAAGTCACTAACGTCATTGTCTTTACAGAGGTAGATGGGAGACACGGCGGTGAGCAATCACAGCATGGTCAAAGAATTCATTCTCCTGGGGTTTCCGATTTCTCCTCATCTGCAGATTCTCTTCTTTCCAATATTCCTCATTGCGTATCTCTTAGTTTTAGCAGAAAATACGCTCATCATCCTGACTGTCTGGACAAACTATAACCTTCACACCCCTATGTATTTCTTTCTGAGTAATTTCTCTTTTCTGGAGATATGGTATGTGACAGTCACGCTCCCCAAGACAATACTGAGCTTTGTGTCAGTGACAAAGGGAATCTCCTTCATGGGATGCATGACACAGCTCTACTTCTTCCTCAGCCTGGGCAACACTGAGTGTCTCCTCCTGGCTGTCATGGCATACGATCGCTACGTTGCCATTTGCAAGCCTTTCCATTACTCTACTATCATGAGACACACTGTCTGTGTCTACCTTACTACCGGATCTTGGTTGATTGGTTTCTTAATTCCTGGATGTAAAGTATTTTTTATCTCTCGGCTGACATACTGTGGACCCAACATAATCAACCATTTCTTCTGTGATGTTTCTCCTCTCTTGAACTTAGCCTGCACGGATTTGGAAAGAGCTGCTCTCATGGATTTTGTGGCTGCCTTATTTATTCTCCTGATGCCTCTCCCTGTAGTGATCCTATCTTACACCTGTATTATCTTCACTGTCTTTCACATTTCGTCTGTACGAGATCGCCAAAAAGCCCTCTCCACCTGTGCGTCTCACCTTATAGTGGTCACTGTCTTCTATGCAACAAGCATTTTCATCTATGTAAGGCCCAAAACACTTCCAGCTAATGACACCAACAAAATCATGTCTGCTTTCTATGCTGTTGTTGTTCCTCTCTTTAATCCCATCATTTACTGCTTGAGGAACAAGGAAATGAAGGATTCTCTCCAAAAGATCTTGCTAAGAAAAAGACTTTCCTTGCAAAAACATTAGCAGGCTTAATGATGAAAAGATGGTGTGGCTCAGAAAACCAAACAGAAATAATTGGATCTTATGACTAAACCACTTAATGAAAAACCCTGGCTTGTGCTTCAGAAGCCGTGTCCCGGTTTCCGGCACTGCTGCCTTTTCATTTCCCGGCTCATGTGCTTTGCCATAGGAAGGCTTCTGTCAGTGCCGGGGTGAGAAGCCCAAGGGTTTCCGGGGCAGAACCACGTGAGCGCAGCAGAAGCCTCCCATCAAGGGCTGGTGCATCCCGTGCAGGCAGGGGATGTGCTCCTGGCTCATTCCTCTGGGCTTGCTTGTGGCCACACTGTGGGAAATGGGCACCGCTCTCGTGCTTCTCTTCCGCATGCCCAAGGACTGCCACAGGAGAGGACATGGCACAGCCTTTCCTCTTGCTCCCCTCAGCTCTCTGAGGGAAGGCCATTGCTGTGTGCAGATGGGCTTCTGCTGGCAGGGCTGGACCCTACTGCAACACCAAGAGTGCTCTCAGGACACCTGTGCTGGGCTCTTGTGCCTCATCCCCGCCCTGTGCAGCCTCTGTGGGTCCTCAGGGAACACCAGGAGCATGTCTGGGGCCTGGCCCTTCCCTGCCCTACCTGACCCCTGTTGCGCCAATGCGGTCCTAGCATCTCTCCGGCAGAGGAGATGTGCAGAACCTGTTGCGCACTGACCACAAGTCCCCAATCCACATCCCACTGTGCTGCTTAATGGTGGAGCAGTGAATGAAGGAGGGAAGTGGAGTCTGTGAAAAAGAGGTGGGATGGGGTGAAGTTGTTTTAATTTTGTCTCACACAATAAAAACCAAACTAAAACCAACCCCAAACCCAAACCAACCCCATTGTGTCCCTGCTTGATGAAACCTATGACAATTCCAGAGACTGCAGACCAGAACCTGTAATTTGCAGATCAATTAATTTGAACTGCATCTGTGCAGGGCTCTGGCTTCAGCTCTTTTGCCTATGTATAAGGCTTTAGAACCATTTGAGACAACAGAACCATAAACCTTCATGTATAGAGATTCAGCCTTTCTCTGGATCTGGTCTCGCTGAAAGCTGCATTTCCCTCTGCATAAGAAGGCTTCTCCAGACGCACCCCCCTACGTGACAGCTTGTGGGGTTTGCCACACGTTAGACTTTCTGTCACAACTGGGAAGTTCTCCTGTCCTCCTTCTAACTCCCCTTCTGGTTGGTACAGGCTGATACAAGATCACCTCTTAATCTTCTCACCAGACAAAACAAGACCAGCACCACTCTTAGTATCCATACCCTAAACCCCTGTTGGCCTCTGCTGGACTCTCTCCCTTTTCTCTCAGCCCAGCCCAAGTTATGGTGAATGACTGCCACATCCTCTGCTCCAGGGCTTTGGGACTGGGACTTTTTGGTGGTTGGTTTTGCCCTCTGCCTCAGACACCAGTTAACATGAGCTGGGTTCAGTGTCTCAGGCAAAACCTTAGGCATATGCAGAGTTTCTCTGTATGGAATCACAGAGGAAACAATAACATCCTCCCTCTTTCTGTGATTGCTTCCACTGGGATTTGCTAGATCAAACCTATTGAGACACTGAATATAAATAACGTGGCTGATTTATCTGTATAAATCATGCAACTGACACAGCAGCCTACGCTTCATCTGCTCCCTATTGATCATATTCTCCAGGATCAACTAAGGCAGTGGATTCCATTCTGAATTGCCACTACAGAAGGTTGAGACCAGTTTTGTTTTTATAAGCACAGGCTAAGGCGTTCTTAAATTGGAAGGAATAATCTGAGTTAGCTACAAACCAA